CCCTCATGTCGTTCCAAACCTGTAAGACCTTCGTTTATCTTCGGAACACAAATTAAGATATTTTTGATGAAATCCGAGAGCTTTCTTGCATAGACAGCAACACAACTGAGACGTTCAAGGCCTAGAAAGGTAGTAAGGACATTGTTAAACTAGTCCATGTGACATCAGTGGTTCCACTGTAATTTTATGAAGCTACGAAAATACTTTTTGTGCGCAACGATATTTTAACAATGTCCTTACTACTTTTGAGCCTTGAACGTGGTAGCTGTGTTGCTGTCTATGTAGGGTCAGAAAGCTCTCGGATTTCATCAAAAATATCTTAATTTGCTTTCCAAAGATGAACGAAGGTCTTACGGGTTTGGAACGACTTGAGGGTGAGTAATTATGACAGAATTTTCATTTTTGGGTGAACTATCCCTTTAATAGGAGAGGATACAGGAGTTTACCTGGTCAGGGCGGAAGTCTTTTCTCTTAGGTCTGATGGAGGTCATGAAGGGACTGTCCTGGATTTCTTCATCATCACACATTATGTGTACAGCATACTCACCGGCCTCAGTTGGCCAGAACCGCACCAGGCAGGAGCCATCATTATGGTCATCACACTCAATCTTTGCCTGAGATGGACCTTCAATGGCAAAACCTTGGAAAGATAATTGGTAAAAATTAGCTGTACCATTTTGTTAGTAATTAATGTTATCTGTTTTATATAATATAATATAATATAATATAATATAATATAATATAATAAATGTTTAAATTGCTTAGAATACCATTTTGTTAGCAATACATTATCTACATAAACCTCCACTTACCTAGCATGCCAGAATCTGCACCAACAGATTCCACCAAGAAATCAGCTGACAAACCCACAGTCCCTCCCTCCAGTCCTGGTCCCCATGCCCGGATCTTCTGTGGCCCAGCTTTTGAACCAACATGGACTTTAAATGGGCTTTAACAGAAAAATAAGAAGCTTAATCTTCAAATTAAAATTAAATGTTAATGTTTATCTGCTATTATCATGTTGAATGAGAGCTAACCTCTTGGCAATGTGCTGACCAACCCAAGTGATGTCCACTGTGTGATCTCCTGTAGCAGTGGGTGTATATTCAAAGGTATATACACCCTCATGTGCATCCTTCTGTGTAACAGCCACTTCCTTACCACCTGAAAAAAGGATAACATTTTAGTTAGACCTAAGAGGGAATACGTAATTGTGTACATCTTCATAAAGATTATGGAGAGATCATAGGCTATTACTCACTGGGGTCTCTAATATTGACCTCCAGATTTCCAGGACCAGCTTTGTGGGTGTCCACCTTAAACTGGGCCAGCTGACCTACTCTCATGCCTTTGGACTGCAGTCCCTGTCCTGTGGCATGACAGGCTTTGGGTTTAAGCACTGGAAAAAAAAAAGAAATAGAAAATGAGATTTTAAACTGCATGAGAGGGTGATAAATAAATAAATAAGCAAGATTCTCAAGGTTGTACACATTATGAAAACAACTGGATTTGGGTAACTTACACATACCATGTCAATTACAGTCAATTACAAGCAGTGTTGGGGAGTAACTAGTTACATGTAACGGAATTACGTAATCTAATTACAAAATAAAAGTAATTGTAATCAGTTACAGTTACTAAGAAAAAATGTGTAATTAAATTACAGTTACTTATGAAAATGTTAAGGATTACAAAGGGGGTTACATCTGATTTTTTCCACACACACTCCCACATACAGATTTAATTGAGTTCTTTCATAAGTTGCAGTGACTGCTCTAAAATATGAAACACCAATGTTTCAGAAGTTTATAACATGCTTATCCGATAGGGTTTATGTACTGTATATGCTTTATTATTTTTAAGATTAACTGTTTTTTCTAAGGCATTGTTAGATTCCAGTGTTTCCTGTAATAGATATGCAAAGATTTGATTTAAAAAACAGTATCATAGCTATTAAACTATTTCTTGTTATGATTTTAAATATGTATTTAACCTCAGAATGATTTTAAAGCAAGTGCACACACACAGCAGTGAACACACACACCGTAAACACACACCAACAAAGTTGGGGGTTTGGTGCCTTGCTCAAGGGTCTCACCTCAGTCGTGGTATTAAAGGTGGAAGAGAGCGCTGGTATTCACTCCAAAATCAAAATGGCTTTATAATTGAGACTGTTTAGGTTTTTGGGGGATTAAAAAAAAGGAGTGAATTTTGATCATTGTAGGGTGGTTGTGTCCACACACTGCTAAGACACCTTTATATGCAAATGAAGATATTTTGCATCCAATGTCTCCTTTAAAATGAAAATATTATAAAATTCAAGTGATGAAGGATTTCGAAAGTCTGAGAGTTATCAGTGTTGAGCACATATTGTAAGTTTAACCCTGCCTGGTTTACATGTTTGAAAATGATTAACAGTTGAAAACATTAGAAATTTAGAAAAGTAATCAAAAAGTAATCAAATGTAATCAGTTACATTAATAAAGTAACTTAAATAGTAATACTACTTATTACATTTTAAATAGGGGAACTTGTAATCTGTAACCTATTACATTTCCAAAGTAACCTTCCCAACACTGATTACAAGTCATAACAGCATCAAGGTGTTGACCGTAGGAATGAGGCCGCAGGTGCTGATGATATTGAGACCAATAACAGCACAACTGCAGGTGTTATATTGTTTTTACACAACAGTTCAGTTAACAAGTAGTTAATATTGAGTAACTTTCGTTTTAGACACAGGGGTTTAGATGGGATTACACAATTTAATTACAAAAATGTACCTGTAATCTATTACAGTTACTGAGAAAAAATGCATACAGTGCCTTACGAATGTATTCATACCCCTTTATATTTTTCATGTTTTTTTAATGTTGCTGCCTTATGTTAAACTGCTTTCAATTATTTTTTTTCCACATCAATCTACATTCCATACACCATTAAGGCAAAGCAAAAAAAAAGGTTTTCCCATCTTTGCAAATTTATTACAAATACAAAAACCTTAAATGATTCCATTGCATAAGTATTCATACTCTTATCTGGGACAGTTGAAATTTAGCTCCGGAGCATTCATTTTGCTTGTAGATATTATACACTTCGAGTGAAGTTAACCTGTGGCAAATTCAATTGAATGAGTATGATTTGGAAAGGCACACGTCTTAAAGTGCCCCTATTATGCCATTTCCAATATTGCCTTTCATGCAGTGTGTAATGAAGCTGTATGTGAATGTAAACGATCTGCAAAGTTGTAAAGCTGAAAGTGCACGATAAATAAAGTCTCCCAAAATAAAGAATCGACTCTGAACAGCTGAAACGAGTCGTTAGTAATTCGAATCCCACTTCCGTGACGGCTACACGTCACGGGGTAACACATTTGCATAATGCAAGACTATGTTCTACGTTGGCCGGCCGCGAACAACTTGACCCCGCCCACAAACACGTTATTCTACTGATGACTGCTTCTCTAATCTCGGGGAGTTCAATGCGGGATTCACAAAAAGCTTGCTGTTGAAAGATGGATCAGTATCCTGTTTATTTGGACTGAATCACAACCTGTAAGTATGATAAATAATAGATGTTTATATTTTCTATAGAGCATTCAAAATACAGAACTATTGAAATAGGCGTATCGTTTCCGACACGCGCTGTACGCCATAGACCAATCACAACAGACTAGGCCATCTGACCAATCAGAGCAGAGCAGGCTCACGGAAAGGAGGGGTTTAGAGAGACT